TAAAAACAATAATAATAACAATAATAATAGTAATAACAATAAAAAACAATAATAATAAAAACCAACAACAACAACAACAACAACAACAACAACAACAACAATAATAATAATAATATCATCATCTTCCAGGAGACGACTGTGCTCAGAGAACTGAGTTTCACCAGGATACACAATATTTACTTGGAAATCAGAATTCCTTAAGCAGACTTGAAATACCCAGTCAGTAAAACCATTCCTGGAATGTACCATTTCAGAAGGTGGTTGGGGGAATTCCATCACTGAATTGCTTTCCTTAATTTTTAAAAGAACCTTCTGCACGCAGCAGAGCGACTCATGATTGAGAAGATTAGATGAGAAGCCCTTGTCTTTGGGGTCCTAATTTTCAGACTGAAGGAAGATTTTCATACGGCGCGTTCTGTATTCGATGGAATCCCCCCCACCTTCATTCTGAAAGTGATAAAGTCCAGGAAGGGTTGTACCATGTGATCGATCAGAATGCATTTGGCTCTTGAGGAACAAGTGTATGAACCCTGAGTTAACATTTCTCATAGCTGACCAGTTTTGGAGGTCAACGTTGAGGGCAACGGTTGTTACTGAAACTAGCCAAGGTCTGCTGCCTCTTAATATGTGTAAGAGAGGACATTCATCCCACAAGTCAAGAATTTCATGTTGTGCTGTGTGTGTTTGTGGTTTGTTTTTTTCCTTCATTCCAAAACTTCTGTTAATGCCACTGTAAATCTCACCAAACCTAGTTTAACCTAATTCTCCTAGCATTTCATGTCAGGTGGTTATTTTCTAACAATGCCTGTTTGTTCTGCATGTGTTTTTAGAGTGGTTTAACTCCACTGCATGTCGCGGCACATTACGATAATCAGAAAGTGGCGCTTCTGCTCTTGGACCAGGGAGCCTCACCTCACGCCTCCGCAAAGGTACCAGTCCTTGCTGTTTAGGAATCCGGGGACCGGCCCATTTATTTGCATGAAGCCACTTCCTGTGCGGCCGAGCCGTCTGTCTTCCTTTCGGCATGTTGCCGTGCACCTTACTGGTTCTGCTCAGGAATGTCTTAATCGCCCAGAGAAGGAGGTAGAAGTTATTAAAGAAAGATTTAGTGCTGGGAGGAGCTACTTTGCTGAAATAGCCTCCTTGGCGGGTCGGAGTTGTAACCAGAAGGTTGTATCATGGTCATCTGATACTCCCAGAGAAAGTGCCCACCCCCCCAGGCCATGGAAATGCCTTCTTTTGAAACAAAGCCAGTTCACAAGATGGATTAAAAACTCCCCAACAATTAGGATGTTTAATTGGGAAGAATGATAATTACACCCCAAATGTAATATGTTGGCAGTAGTACAAAACCGAAATGCTGTAACCTAAAATCAGCCCAACAGCTTGTTGACATAACTACTGTGTCAAAGAAAACAAGGTGAGCCTTATTGAGGAGAGAACTTCATAGACCGTCTGGAAGCGTGTGATGCTTTGGAGACTCCCTTAAGTCCTTATGGTAGCTAAGAAGAGAGCTCTTGCTGAGAATTCTTTGTGTATAGGGACCTTGCACTAATACTCTAGGGGTTCACACACCTTGGGCGAAGCTGGCGAGCGAGACTTCAGGGAGACGTATGGCGTTTTCACACACACCAAATAACGCACTTTTGATGTACTTTGCTACTGGATTTTACTGTGCGAAATGGCAAAATCTACTTGCAAACAATCACTGAAGTGGATTGAAACTGTATTATTTTGCATGTGTGAAAGCACCCTTACTCTGGGTCGGAGGGCATTCCTTACAGAGTTTTACAGCATCAGGGAGATCGTGCGTTCACGCAAGAAGGTATGATTCTGTCTTACACTGGCTCTGAATATCGGTCCAAATAGCTCAGTATCGTCTGATCTGACTGGCCGCGCCACTCTTGCGGCAGAGAAAGATCTCTCTCCTGCCATTTCCTACCTGAGATCCTTTTTACCTGGAGATGTTGGGGATTGCACCAGGACCTTTGGTGTGCAAAGCCCTGCGGTTCAACCGTGGCCAAGTCTCCACAATTAGTTCATTCACTTCTCCCCACTTCTGATTAAACTGGGGGCCCGCTGTTCTTTTCGCTCCCTCCCTCCCCTGGGATTTCTGCCCAAGGGTGAAATGTCCTCTGGAGAGGCTCATAGACAGCTTGCCTTTTATGAATACTTTGTCCTTAATGCCCGTGTCAGGGGGAAAGGAAGATAAGCAGAACAGGTAAGATCCTTGCATGGTTGTTTGTGTGGTTGTGGTTGTTTTCACTAACATCTACATGGAATCATTAACATATGTGGACTGTGTAGACATTTAAAACTTGAGGCAGAGAATGCCCTCAACAGACTGTATTTCAGAGTCAATCTGGCCAAAGCATAGTCAAGGCATTCTACTTATGGAGTGGTTATTGGAGCTTTGTGCTTGAAAAAGACCAGATCCCAGAAACTGATAATCGGAGCCAGCGGAAAGTATATATGAAATGCCTCCTAGCATTTTATTTTTTTACAGTACTATCCTAGGCATGCATACTCAAAAGTTAACCTCCTTAGTAAGGTGCGCATGGGATCGCAGCCTTAATCTGCTCAGTGTCAAACACTTAAGCCAGGTGACATAGTTTTAAGTAACATGTAAGGCATGCTCTGAAATGACTCCAAAATGTTTTAAATGAAATTTCCCCATGGCAGTCTAACACCAGCCTCTGCAAGCGAGCCCAGAGAAGAAGAGGCTCAGCAGGAAAATCCTCTTTTGAAAGTTGCTTGGGGCTTGACGTTAGATAAATCTGATGGGGAAGAGAGCGGTGTCATGAAACTGACCATCAAGAAAACCCTTCTCATACAGGAACTGACACGCAGAAGGCAGAGTCGCATGGGCTCCTTATGAGATGGTGCCACATGTGTTGTCTGAGTTAGGGGGTGAAGGAATAGCAATTTCATAAGCTTCTTAAAGCTTTCAGAAACTTGATTTCAGACCAAGAAGCCTTAGGGAGCCATTGCTAGAACCTGGTGGTGCCAAGAGAGCCGGTTTGGTTCAGTGGCTAGGATGGTCGTCCTGGGTCTGAGAAATCCAGATGCAAATCCAAGTGGAGTTGCTGCAGAAACGATAATTAGCGAGTGAGGCAACTGAGCCTGGAGGGAACAGAACAGATAACATGTCGTTCCGGAGCCCAGTTCTTCCCGCCGCCACCTTTAAAGGCCGGACTGAAGTAAAACAGTTGGCAGGTTCCTTCCTTTCTTGCAGGTCTCCATATTCCCAGTCCCAGCTGGCTGAGGGCTAGGGCTTGTACATTCTTCTCTGCTTCCAAGGATATTCCCGGGCAGCATACATGCGGGGCTTTTAGCATGGGAGAGTTGGGCAGGATTGGGTGAAGATCGAAGGCATTTCCTGGTATTTTTCTGCAAGGGAAGAGTTGAGTTGTACTGTGAATACTGAGATTGTCTGCTGCCCCCCTCTCCTTCCCAATTGGCCCCCCCGGGTGGTGTGTGTGCAGTCATCCCATGCACGGGAGTGATTAGGATACAGAAGGATGGCTCAAATGCAGGCCAAATCGGTCATCGGGTTGTATTTTTGGTGTCATTAACAGTAAAGCCAAATAGGCCATGAAGTATAGCTGAGCTACCGAGATAGCACTGATTTTTATTTTAATTCTGGACAACACATATCCCACTTTCTAAGATGTGTTTTAACGACTTCGTTGAGGGGTCCCGAATCCGCACGGAGAAAGTTCCTTTCGGCTTGCCTTCCGGCGGATGATTAAAAGCATAGATGTCAGATTCTTTAGCAAGAGCAGAGAGGAAAGAGATCGTGGAGGGCGATCTTAATAGAAGCTGTGGGCCACCGACTGTGTAGTGAAAAGGAAAGGCAAATCAGTATCCATACAGGAAGCTCAAAGCGGCGGCCAGAGCCTTTGTGTATGGGGGAAATACGCCTTCACTCAGCCTTAGGAGGTGAACCAGGCTGACTTCGAAACCCTTTAGCACCGCAGCGCAGTGGCTTGAAATAATGCAGCCGCTTAAGTGCCGTCTTTATAGAGGGGACCGAACGTTGACCTAGTTTAATGTTGAAAGACTCGAAGCTGACACGGAGCATGCCCCCCTTCAGGGGGAGCGGGGTTTCCACTTGCCCCCGGTGCCAGCGGCTTTCCAAAGCCAAAGCCTCCAGAAATGATAAAATTACCGACTTGAAAGAGAACCAGGGAATTAGATATCGGGTCACTTGGTTCGCTTGTTCGCCAAGCAAATGAGCTAGCAGCTGCCACTTTGGCATTCCGGTGCCAGCCAAGGGGCTTCCTAAAAGATGTTTTCCAGTGAGCAGGCTGCGGAAGGGAACCAAACCGAGCGTCAGGACTGGAATTCATGGCGGCCCCCTCCCCTCACAGCCTTGGGCCGTGTGTCGTGCAAGCAGCTGCAAATTTATACGGGGATGGCAGAAGAGTTCCTGTTCCTCTTAGACATTCGGCCCGATCAGTCAATCTGTGCTCTTGCTGAGACTGAAATGGTCTCTCACAACGAGTGTCGTTCTCTGTCTTCTTCTCTTCTGACTTCCTCTTAGTACTTTTTGACTTGATCTGTGAGAACAATGCTGAAAAAAATGTCTTATTTAAGTTCAGTAGCTCCTTTAGACACCAGCAAGGTTTTCGTGGTGTGAACGTTCGAGAGTCAAAATTCCCTCCGTCAAACTGGCACGTGTTGACTCTCGAACAGCCATTACCCCAAAAATCTTGGACGTCTCTAAGGGACTGTTGGACTCAAACCTAGCTCTTCTACTGCCGACCACACGGCTGTCCTCTGAGATGATTTATTTAAACCATTTGTATGCCACGTCCAGGTTTCCCTCTAAGCTGAGTTAGTGTGAGCACGTATTTCTCTTCCCTCAGGAAGGATTGATCCAGAGCAAACTCATTGATGCAGCAGCCAAATCACTCGCTCACAACTTTAATGCCAGTAGCTCACAAAATAGAAATTTTTTCCTCTCAAGACTCCACAGCTTAGAGGGAACACTGGCCACATTTTCACTCAAAGTAGGTCCCCAAGGTGGGGGGAGGGGGCCTGTCACTGCAATGAAGCCTGGATCTTAGGAACAGCTGGTAGCCGTCTTCCCACAGTCCCCTCCCTTCCACTGACTCAGAATTTAAAAACAAGGATCCCCCCCTCCCCCCAGTATCTGGGTGTGCATTATTAAAGAAATCCAGTCGTACCTGAGGTGTGAAGAAAAGTCCGCATCTTTTGGGTGGGCGAGCTGATCACTCAAATGTTTTCTGTTGACAGAACGGTTACACGCCCCTGCACATTGCTGCCAAGAAGAGCCAGATGGATATCGCAACCACGCTGCTGGAATATGGTGCTGATGCCAATGCCGTCACCAGGCAGGGCATCGCCCCTGTGCACCTGGCCTCCCAAGAGGGCCACGTAGACATGGTGTCATTACTTCTAACCAGGAATGCTAATGTGAACCTAAGCAACAAGGTAAGTTGGCTTCCTTCGGTGCTCTCAGGGGCCCTGTTGAATGACAACAAGCCATTTCCCCGTCATCTGTCCTCTGAAGATCTGTTGTAATTCCCAGGAGATCTCCGGGCCCCACATAGAGCCAACCAGACACATGGCAAATGATCCTACCCAGCAAGGTGGGGGGGAAGGGTAAAGAGTGTGCATATCATCTCCCTTATATATAAAAGCCGAATGGTGGTGGCACTTCTCTAGAACATTCCACACGCTCCGGAATTGGTTGGCGCCCTGGTGTGTCACTCAGAATCTGTCCCTATCCACTGGCTGCATTGCTTGAGTCTCGCCTTCAACAATCTAAACAGTTTGCTGTTCCTCTCCCCCCCATAGCCAGTTAGAACACAGAGGTTATTTGCATATGCAGCCTCATTGGCCTTTGCCTCGGAACACAGAGGTCATTTGCATATGCGACTTGATTGGCTTTTGCCTCTAACATTCTAAACAGTTTGCTGTTCTGAGGTAAAATGTGTCCAATCTCCAGGTGAGGGCTGGAGATCACTCAGAATTACAACTGCTTTCCAGATGGCAGAGATCAGTTCCCCTGGAGAAAATGGTGAGCTCTGTATCCTTATATGCTGCTGACGTGGCCCCCGTATGACAGCCAATGTGACATAGCAGTCAGGGCTTCAGAGCATGGGAGAGGCTGCAGGTGTGTGGGGGGTGGAAAGCTGAAGAGTGAGAGGGAAATAAAGGTAAGTTGATGATTGGCTGGGAAGGATATAGGGTTGCCAACTCCAGGTGGGAAATTCCTGGAGATGTGAGGGATGGAGCCTGGAGAGGGTGAGGTTTCAGGAGGTGTGGGACCTTGGACAGGTACAAAGCCATAGACTCCACCCTCCAAACCAACTATTCCCTTCTGGGGAACCATCGTTGCCAAGCTCCATGTGAGGACTGGCGATCAGTCAAAATTACAACTGTTCTTTAGGTAGCAGAGATCAGTTCCTCTGGAGAAAATGGTGGACAATGTCATTATACCCTGCTGAGGTCGCCACAGCAAATTGACACTGAGTGTCCAAGGCTGGGGCACCCACCCAGAGCCTCTTTCTAGAGATCGTTGTATTTATTTTCACAACGGGCCTTTTTCCTAGTTCTACATATTTGTGTTTGTGTATACAAGCATAGACAGAGATGCAATTAGGTATTAATCAGACTCATGGAGGTGAGGTGAGGTGAGGTGGGCCTCTGAGTGGAATTCAGCGGCCACTGTCCCACTGCTCTGCCACACACAGAATATATCCACATTTGAAAAGCTGAGCACTGATCCACAGAGAAGAAAAACAAAACATGTTGACAGCTAATGAAATGGGAGGAGGGAATCTGTCTTCTTTAACGATTTGAGAAGCATAACAGGTTGTTGAATCTGTACTGCATATTTTACCATAAGAGAACATCTTGGGGGGGGGGGGCAATGTCATAGGATGATGGGTCAAATGATATCTTTTTTGGGGGATGGGACTTTTTCCTGTTATGGGGCTAATTTGTGTTCAGCGTGCCAACATAGGTAGTCACAAGGATTCTCAAAACAGGGGGAAATTATAGGTAAATGTGTTTGGTATTATTATAGGTAAATGTGAAAAAATGGAAACAGTAGCAGTGTGTTACTCTTTCTTTACACCAACCTGAAGGACCCCCAGTGGAGGGGTGGGGTCCCCTAGTGTCAGGCCTCACCTTCCTGCCACCAATCAGCTGGCTGGCGTAGGGAACTTACCCCCCAAAAGAGGGGAATTCCTCCCACGTGCAGTGATGTGTCTATGGCTGATACATGGTACTGCCTTGTAGAAGAGGCCAAGCTGCTAGGGGCTACAAAGAAGTCCTGAGTGTAAAAAGCTGTGCTGAGCAGTTATTCCTACCTGGGGTAAAAAGGAATGAGAGGTGCAAATTGCAAGGAGACCCATAGCCACCAGAACTGTGCCAGGTTTTTAGGACAGGTTGTTGGCAGTTGGCAGTGCCATTCTAAGCCCTTCCAAGAAGAGTCTTGCTCTGCTTAGATGGCACTCTGAGTCTCTCTCAAGGCATCTCTGAAGAAGTGAGAGAACCTCAGAGTGAATTTAAGGGAAACGGCACCTTGGAACATAGTTGGCATGATGTTTCGCATTTACATTGTAGGTGAATGATCTGGAAGTCTCTTCCATCGACCTCTCTTTGTGTTTTATTCATGCATGCTCTAGCTTTAATTTCCCAGTGGTCTGGTAAATAGTGTGTGCAAGTATAAATTCTCTTGCAGAATGTTCATGAACATTCCATCTGCACGCATAGGGACTGACGGCTTTAAAAACAGTATTCAGGCCACTTTCCAGCCAACCAGATCATTTTGAACACACACACATACCAAGCCTTACCTGGTGGCATGGCTGAATGGTTTCGGAAAACTAATTGCTTTAGAACAGGGATACTCTCATGTGGCTCTTCTGAGCAACCTTCCCCAGTGTGGCACCCACCCCGTGGTTCAGGAAAGTGTGCAAGTCCCTTTCCCGGTAGGGCCTGTGGTTGGCTATTGGTTCCTTCCTTGGAGCAACTGCTGCCAGAGGAAAAGAAAAGCCACAAAATTCTCCAAGGTGCATGGGCAGGTGCTGGGGATGGAATTAAATGTGGCTCCTTTGGTTAATGGTGGCTGCAAATGTGCCTCTCCACAACCTGCAGAATGAGGAGCACTGCATTAGAATATCTGTGCTACATTAAGTTTATGCGCACACACACACAACTGCTTCTGTTTCCTGGCAGCCAGCGCACAGTGTTGTTTTGGGGACAAATGAGATGAGACTTGCAGTGCTTTTTGTACACCGAAAATAAGTACACGCAATCTCTCTCCTCCCTCTTAGTCTCTCTCACTCTTTGTGTGTGTGTGTGTGTAAGCCAGCTGATTGGCTTCTGTCACATCTGGTCACTTCCATGACATATGGAGGACCAAACATATTACAGAAGTGACTCAAGTGACTTCTGGTTTAATAGCGAATTTTATTTATTTATTTATTTCATTAAACTTATAGCCAGCCCGCCCTCCCCACTGTAGGCTCAGGGCGGGTACCCACATATATGTATCTGCAGTTAAGGCAGATTTACAATTAAAAAAAAAAAAACATATTACAATCATCAATTTAAAATCCATAAAATTGTCATCCTTATTTCACTGAAAAGAAACATCAGCATTAAGACGGGAAGAGATGTGCTGCTGGGAGAGTGAAGGAAGAGCTGCGATGCCACCCTAAAAGAAGCATCAGATGCAAAAAACCCCAAAGCCCTCCTGGTGTGGGAGGCAGTGGCGACAGTGGATGGCAGGGAAGGGGAAGAGGAGGACCCCAGCCACTTAAAGCTCTTCCTGGCCGCAGGAGGAGGGGCTAGAGAATAAATATGGAGAGGGCCCCCCGGCTCTTTTTGTAGCAGGAACTCATTTGCATATTAGGCCACACACCCCTAATGTAGCCAATCCTCCAAGAGCTTACAGAGCTCTTCTTACAGGGGCTACTGTAAGCTCTTGAAGGATTGAAAAAAAAAAAACATATTACAATCATCAATTTAAAATCCATAAAATTGTCATCCTTATTTCACTGAAAAGAAACATCAGCATTAAGACGGGAAGAGATGTGCTGCTGGGAGAGTGAAGGAAGAGCTGCGATGCCACCCTAAAAGAAGCATCAGATGCAAAAAACCCCAAAGCCCTCCTGGTGTGGGAGGCAGTGGCGACAGTGGATGGCAGGGAAGGGGAAGAGGAGGGTGTTAAGCTCCAGCTAGCCTTGTTAAAGAGTAGCTTTATTAAAAAGCAGAATGCTGAATTAAACAAGTTCTGGTTGGATCCAGTGAAGTCATGCAGTTTCTTGTTAATTAATGGAAATGAGAAGCAGACTGGTAGGGGGAGGAGATCAGTACAGGAACCAGTTTGGTGTCGTGGTTAAGTGAGCAGACTCTAATCCGGGAGAACCGGGTTTGATTCCCCACTCCTCCACTTGCACCTGTTGGATGACCTTGGGCAAGCCATGGTTCTGATAAGAGCTGTTCGTGAAAAAAGAGCAGTTTCTGTCAAGAGCTCTCTCAGCCCCACCTCCCTCACAGGGTGTCTGTTGTGGGGAGGGGAAGGGAAAGGAGTTGGTAAGACATGCTGAGACACCTTTGGGTAGTGAAAGGCGGGGTATAAATCCAATCTCCTCCTCTTCTTCTTCTTCTGCCCACTTGGTTCTGTAGCATCCCTCTTCAAGCCCCAGCCCTGACTAGGCAGGAACGTGGTCAGGGTACATCCAGGCTGGCTGGCTCGTTTTTATACAGTTGCTAAATCTTGGCACAAATATGCATTCGCTTGCCTGTTTGTGTTTTACAGGGGTTTTTTTTGGGGGGGGGGGTTATACCTGAGCTGGCTTAAAAGGGGAAGGTGTTGATGTTTGGGTGACCTTAATTTGGACACGTTAGGGTGAGGGGAGGGGCAGGAGGTAGAAAGCCAAGTTTCAAGTCGAAATGTCATTGCTGGGGAAAGGAGGGAGAGAAGGGCTTGCAGTTTTCCCCCAAATGACATTCGGATGACTAAGACTGAGCCAGCTCAACTTGGCAGCCGGCCCAGGTCTACAAACCGTGTCAGGTGGGAGCGACCTGGACTCTGTTCCGATTAACAGGAAGGGGTCTGGGGCTGTGGGAGAGAAGTGCTCCATCAACGGGTTTACGTCTGAAGCCCGTCACTTCAGTAATCGGCCCCTTGCTGCTCCGTCACCTGTGCTGAGTGAGCAGAAAGAAAGAGCCCCAGGGGAGTGTGTCAAGGTGAGACACTAAGCATCTGTCCAAAGTGTGGCCCCCGCCTTCCCCCCAGTCACGCGGTTCCCAAAAATCTCCCCCTCGTCGCCAGAGTTTTTCCTTGCAGCCTTAGAAAAAGTAACTTCGGCTGATGCCTCTTGTGTTTCAGCAAAACATTAAAGGATGGGTTTTATAGTTTCATGGAGCTGCGGTGGCTCAAGTGGTTAAGACGCTGAACTGCAGGCTGTGGAAGGCCGGTAGTTCAGCAGTTCGAGACCCGGGTGCCGCATGATGGAGTGAGCTCCCGTCTCTATTTCCTGCTCCTGCCAACCTAGCAGTTCGAAAGCAAGAAATTGCAAGTAGATAAATAGGTACCCCTTCAGTGGGAAGGTAACAGCGTTCCATGCGCCTTGGTGTTTAGTCATGTTGGCCACATGACCACAGAAACGTCTTCGGACAGCGCTGGCTCTTTGGCTTTGAAATGGAGATGAGCACCGCAACCCTAGAGTCGGATTCGACTGGCTTTTGAGCAAGGGAACCTTTACCTTTACCTTTATAGTTTCACATGGCCCTTTCAGGACCTTTGTTGCGTCACGTTCTTGCAAGGATCTCGGGTCAGCGTTGGCCCGTCGGTGCAGCTGGGAAGAGGCACGGGATGTGTTTCCCACATACACCTTTTCCAGTACGAATGGCTTCTCCTGTTGAAGAGAGCAGGGAAGGACCTCCCTGTGCCCGAGACCGTGGGGAGCCAAAGCTAGTCAGATGAGACAGGAGCTAGATGGGCCCAGGGGCCTAGCGGCAGGAGGCAGTCTCTCGCCCAGCAGTCATGTGAGATGGTGATTCAGCCAAAGTCCACCCGGTATTATCTGTTTACCATCATCATCATCATCATCATCATCCCTTTTATTGACATACTCAAACATAGTACAAAAATAGAGACAAGCGAAAAGTACAGTTCCAGATTAAGAACAATAGGCTAAGACAGAGAAACTTGGGACCGCATATGGAATACAGTATAAAATAGTAAAGGTAAAGGTTCCCTTGCTCGAAAGCCAGTCGAGTCCGACTCTAGGGTTGCGGTGCTCATCTCCGTTTCAAAGCCGAAGAGCCAGCGCTGTCTGAAGATGTTTCCGTGGTCATGTGACCAAGGCGCACGGAACGCTGTTACCTTCCCACCGAAGTGGTCCCTATTTATCTACTTGCAATTTCTTGCTTTCGAACTGCTAGGTTGGCAGGAGCTGGAACTAGAGATGGGAGCTCACTCCATCATGCGGCACCCGGGTCTCGAACTGCTGAACTCCTGACCTTCCACAGCCTGCAGTTCAGCGTCTTAACCACTTGAGCCACCGCAGCTCCAGTACAGTAGAAAATACTTCCCTTATTAATGCAGTCCAACTACAGACATTCAAAATCATGTCCTTTTGGTATCTAATTCCAGTTCAAATAGCTCGTGTTAAACACTCAAACTCAAATTGCTGGATAAAATGTAAAGAAAAAGGAACTTACCTGCAATGTTCGATGTTCTGCCACAAGGGGAGGGGGGGTGCATTTAAGGCAGCCCCTCCACTACTGCTTGTGGGTGGGTAGTGGGGAAGAGAGTAGGATGTTTTTGCAAAGATAGAAAACCCTCACCTGTTTATATGTACAGAACATGGGCTGAAGAGCAGATACAGATTCGAGAAATGGCAACAGCCTCGTTATGCTGATTTTCAAGAAAGCTGCAGAATTAGGATGAGAATGACGGGTTTAAAGGCCCCAGTCTGGCTATCCCCACTCCACCCAAAGTCACTACAGAGCCTTAGGCAAGCCACTGTCCCCCATTTCCCTGCATGTAATAGAGAGAGAGTAACATTGATCCACCTACCAGGGTGTTGTAAAATAACAGCAGCAGATTATCTCTGTGAGAAACACTATGAGCTGTCAGTCAAGAAACACTAAGTGGGAAAAATATATGGCAATTGACCCTGATTTCTGGTGCTCCTGCATAGCAAAGAAAATGGGGAATAGCCAGAAAAAATAAAACTTCGGGTGTTTATTTTGGATCAGCAGGATAACATGCTGCACTTTATTCAGATGTTGTGCTTAAGGAAGGCAAGTGACCAGCATGGATTTGCTCATTTATAACTGAACATGCTTGAAAAGAGTTCACGACACTCAAACGCCGAGTCGACGACACTCAGAATTCGCTGAACATCTGAAATTGCCTCACGAATTCATCTTCTCTGCAAGAAACTAATTGTCTGCATACTTGACTTACAGAGTGGCCTGACACCGCTCCACCTCGCGGCACAGGAGGACAGAGTCAACGTGGCCGAGGTCCTTGTTAATCAAGGTGCTGTTGTGGATGCACAGACCAAGGTATGTTTGAACACTCATTGTGTGCAGGTGTAGGAAAAGGTGTAGGAAAAGGTATAGGAAAAGAGAATCCATTGAAACAGACAAAAAAAAATTCCCAATTTGGAAATCATTTCACGGCGGTCTGCAGTGCCACCCACACAAATAGCATTCACACGGTCTTAACAAATTGGCACAAAGAAGGGAACGCTTGTGTGCAACCAGGCTCTGGAAATGGTTCTGGAGAACTTTGGCATCACTGCACATCTTCTTGAATGTGTTGCTTTTCAATGGAGCCAGCACCAGGGCTTTTTTTGTAGAAAAAGCCCAGCAGGAACTCATTAGCATAATAGGCCACACCCAATAGCAGAAACCCATTAGCATTTTAGGCCACACCCCTGACAGCACCACTCATTAGCATATTAGGCCGCCCCCACATGTTACCAGAAGTGTGCTCATCCAGCCACACCCACCTTTTGCTTCTTATTCTGTTTACCTTGTTTGTTGTCAAAACCCTGGGTTTTTTTTGGAGCAGGAACGTCTTTGCATGTTAGGCCACACACCCCTAATGTAGCCAAGCCTAATGAGTTTCTGCTGTTGGGTGTGGCCTATTATGCTAATGAGTTCCTGCTGGGCGTGGCCAACTCGGGAGCCAGCCGGAACTCCATTCCTGTGCGTTCCTGCCCAAAAATAGCCCTAGCCAGCACACATATTCAGCAGCAGATCCTGAATTCTAATTTGTGGTGTGGGGGGAAACGCATGCATCTTCTCCTCTGCTCTAATCAAGCCAATTACAGTGTGTGCTGTATCTCTGCATCCTGACTCCCTTCTTTGCAACACCCGTGTTCTGACTGAGATAGAAGGACTCAGACCTCCATCTCAACTTGGATCCGATGAAGGGAGCTTTGACTCTCAAAAGCTGATACCCTGAAAGCAGGGGTCATTTCGTAGAAAAAGAGCTAGGGGAACTCATTAGCATAACTCATTAGCATATGCCACACCCCCTGACATCAAGGGCCCGGCGGTGGACCTGCAAGGCCAGCGGGAGTGTGAGGAAGCCCCGCCAAGGCCCTCCCTGGCCCCAGGCAGGCAGGGGTGGGGAGAGGCGGGGAGGAAGCAACTTACCCTCCCTCTTCTCCTGCCTCCTCCTGGCTGAATGAGGGCTGGAAGCGGGGCGGCCGGAAGCAGGGGGCGGGGCTTCGTCATGTGCCCCGCCCCCCTGCACCTCACCCGGGGGAACTGAGTTCCCCCCCGAAATGACCTCTGCCTGAAAGGTTTATTGGACTCTAAGGTGCTACTGCCCTAGAATCTAGCTCAGGGGTGTTGAACTCATTTGTTATGAGGGCCGGATTTGACATAAATGAGACCTTGTTGGGCTGGGCCGTGTGTGTCATAAAATGCAATGCCAGGTAGTGGAGATATAAACTTTATAAAGGACACAAACACAAAGGTGTTTTTTTTTTACTTAAAATAAAAACATGCTTAAAACCATTAGCACTCTTGCTATATTTTGTTTATTTGACAGTGTCTGATAACTGACACCTCTTGCTCTGAATTATTGCATCAAAACGTCTGTGCTGCTGCAATCCTGAGTGTGCTGTTCAGGTGTGTATCTGTAAGCTGCAAGCTGCAAACCTGCAGCAGCAGAACTGGAAGAAGAAGCAGAAGACAGCCAGTTCCACTGCGGGCCTGATAGAAGCCCTCCGGGGGCCTAATCCAGCCCCCGGGCCACATGTTTGACACCCCTGGTCTAGCTGTTTTATATGCACAGAATCATAGAGTTAGAAGGGGCCATTCACCAGCCTCAGATCAGCATTTTCATTGCTCTTTGGTTGCTGCATATCATGAGGAACTCGAGAAGGTCCTTGCCTGGCCCTCAACAGCAAGTCCAGCTCTGGGGTTCCAAGACCAGCAGCATGTGTAGGATTTGTTTAGGGACAGAGACTGCGGCTCCTGACTCTGGCAGTGTAGCAGATGGCCGTGCCTGTCCTGTCTAGTCTGACATGGTAATGAACGAGTTGTCAAACGCTTGAACTATGGCAGTGGAGAAAAGCACTCTGCAGTAATAATTACCTGCCCTTGTCCTCTTATCAAAGGTTAGGAAGCAGATTATTGACTCATAAAACTCAGTGACACTGCTGTTACCCTGCAGTAGCAAAATCCAGAGGTGGAGAGGGAGGACAAATACCTTAGTCATGCCAGATGACTTCACGTTGCACCGCAAGTAAAGTGTCGTGATCCGTTTTGTGACTATAACTATCTCGAGTCAACCCTGCCCCTCTCTCTGTGGATCTATGTAGGCTGAAACTTTTAATCGGCTAATGTGTGGCTTTATGTTTGTTTGTTTATTGAAGAGGAAGAAGAAGAGATTGGATTTATACCCCACCCTTCACTACCCAAAGGTGTCTCAGAGCGGCTTACAAACTCCTTTCCCTTCCCCTCCCCGCAACAGACACCCTGTGAGGTAGGTGGGGCTGAGAGAGCTCTGAGAGAAACTGCTCTTTTTCAAGAAGAGCTCTTGTCAGAACTATGGCTTGCCCAAGGTCATCCAGCAGCTGCAAGTGGAGGAGTGGGGAATCAAACCTCGTTCTCCCAGATTAGAGTCCGCGCACTTAACCACTACACCAAACTGGCTGACTGCTTTTATGTCCTGGCTTCTCCATTGGACACCGAAAGCATTCTCCTCTCCTCCACTGATTCTCAGACAACAATCCTGTCAATGTAGGCTGGGCTGAGAGAATGTGACTGGCCTAAGGTCACCCAGCAAGCTTGGTGTAGTGGTTAAGTGCGCGGACTCTAATCTGGGAGAACTGGGTTTGATTCCCCACTCCTCCACTTGCACCTGGCTGGATGACCTTGGGCAAGCCGTAGCTCTGATAAGAGCTGTTCTTGAAAATGAGCAGTTTCTGTCAGAGCTCTCTCAGCCCCACCTCCCTCCCAGGGTGCCTGTTGTGGGGAGGGGAAGGGAAAGGAGTTTGTAAGCCGCTCTGAGACACCTTTGGGTAGTGAAGGGCGGGGTATAAATCCAATCTCTTCTCTTCTTCTTTTACCTCACAGGGTGTCTGTTGTGGGGAGGGAAAGGGGAAGGACTTTGTCAGCCGCTCTGAGACTCCTTTGGGTAGTGAAGGGCGGGGTATAAATCCAATTTCTTCTTCTTCTTCTTCTTCTTCTTCTTCTTCTTCTTCTTCTTCCATGGCAGGCTGAGGACTTGAACCTGGGTCTCCCAGATCCTAGTCCAACACTCTAATGAGAGCCAGCTTGGTATAGTGGTTAAGAGCGGCACTCTCTAATCTGGAGAACCGGGTTTGATTCCCCACTCCTCCTCCACAGGAAGCCAGCTGGGTGGCCTTGGGTCAGTCACAGTTCTCTCAGAACTCTCTCAGCCCCACCTACCTCACAGGGTGTCTGTTGTGAATCGAAGAAGGAAAGGCAATTGTAAGCCACGCCGAGACTCCTTCGGGTAGTGAAGGGTGGGGTATAAAACCAATTCTACTTCCTCCTTCTTCTCCTCCTCCTCCTCCTGTTCTTCTTCTTCTTCTACTTCTTCTTCTTCCCAGGTTGATTCCAATGCCCATTTACTGTGGGAGTCTCCCCCATTGATCTCAGTGGGTCTGACGTCTGACTAAGAGGGGATGCATTCGAACAGCAAAGCTTTTCATTGATTAATTAATGGAGGCAGATTTTAATTGGCGAGGCAGCAAATGGGAGTGCAAGTGTGGGACTTCTTTAAAGACTGTTTTCATCCTGGTGTATAAAAAATGACAAAGACACCACTGAATTGGACTTTCCCTCTTTACAGCGAGCAACAGCTTTTGCTTATTAAACTGTAATTAATAATTAATACTAATATATCAAAACGTCACCTATACTGAGGTATGGGGATACAAATACACACTTGATCTGTCAGTTAAAAGTGTTTGCTTTTAAAATTGGTTGATTGTATAGTTTTGTAGATTGTACCTTTTTAGTTTAGTGTGTCACTTTGGAGATGAGTCAGGTAGAGACGTAACGAATACCCTTACAGAATGATGGTATGGCGATATCATTAATTGAGAGGATTAATCATCTTAAAAATGCTTTCATCCTTTAAACCACTATGTTTATATCATCATATAAATAAAAGTATAAAATATGGAATATGAAAACATTGGATAAACTATAAATATTGAGTGAATAAATCATGAATGTGTGAATACACTCACATACTATTCAGTATTTATATTGTTATCTATATGCAGATATTCTGGATGTACATCGTCGTTAAAGGCTAAAAGAGGGATTATGTAGGCAAGGTTTAGGTATCAGTGTTCCCTCTAAGCTGAGTTAGTGTGAGCTAGCTCACAGTTTTGTAGCCTTCAGCTCACCAATTTTTGTCTTCGCTCAGGAAGGATGGCTCCAGAGCCAACTAATTGATGCAGTCGGCAAATTGCTCGCTCACAACTTTAATGCGAGTAGCTCACAAAGCAGAATTTTTGCTCACAGCTTAGAGGGAGCATTGCTTACCTTCACAGGCAGCATATATGCTATACCTGCAAATTCTGATTCATACGGAAGGCTGTGTACATGGTAGGGATCTGAGCTGGCGGCTTGTCCTTCTGTGTAACCTACATGCCCAGCCTGTGTACATGGCTAACCTGCTCTCCATTGACCAGAACCTTAGTTTGCCAAGCGACATCTTCTCTAGCCCTGACCAAGATGGCCCAGGCTACCCTGGTCTTGCTCGATCTTGGGAGCTAAGCGGGATGAGCCCTGGTTAGTATTTGGATGAGAGACCACCAAGAAACTCCGACGTTGCTACGCAGAGGCATGCAGTGGCAAAACCACCTCCATTGGTCTCTTGTTTGGAAAACCCAAGAGGTCGTGTTTTGAACATGTTGCATTCCATCTCCTCGTATTTACCCAGGCTTTAGTGGACTTTCACGGAATAAAAAGCATTTCGTTCAGAGGGAAGGGAAGGGAATGTGGAGTTTGAGAGAACATGCATTTTGGATATGCATAGTATGTATTTTTAAAGTGGCTATCTA